ACGACCCTGGGGGGGGCAGCATTTACTTAACAGCAAATGCACAGCAGATCAACGATCCATAACTATATTTATTATATACATGACAAAATTACTGCAATCTGATTGGTTAGGAAGAGTGCAATTATTATAAGTATAATAGCATAAAAAGAGGCGAATTAGCTATTAAAACGTCCCACCCGATGAGGGTCCCTTGGGCGCCGCTCGATGACCCGAAACGGGAAAGTCGTGCAATTATTGATTAACACTACTAATGATTTTTGAAAAATGGCCCATTTTTCAAAAAACACTCGTAGTGTTAATCATTAATTGTTCTCTTTCCAGTGTGATTACCTATACTAATTATATGGATAAAGGACTGAGAGCTTATCAACATTTGTCAAAGATCGCAGCGTGTGTTTTATGGGTAGCCCTGGTCTAAAACATAAATAGTTATCATATTATTAGACTAACGAGTAAATGATATAATTTGGCAATATAAATTAAAAAACAAACTTTGGTTTTTCGCAGGCCTCAATACTGATGGTAATTAATCCATGCGTGACGATTGGTGAAGGAAAGCAGCATGGCATTGGTCTGAAAAGAACATTCATCAATGATCTTGGGATTCAATGGAGCGTATGTATCCTAGACCTACCAGGCAATAAAGGAATACCGAATGGTTTTCCGTGCAGGATTGCGTGATCCATGCACGCGTGATGTTGCGAGACTTTCGGAAAGCGTAAACGGCGAGTGTATTTTTACGCTTTCCGAAAGTATAAGACACAATATCGAAGATAAAATATACTGCACTGTTTCAAAACTACAATAAACTTCGTCGAAATCGTCTTTAGCCATCTATCATTATGTAAAAGTACAACAACTGGATGATATCTGCGAGACTCGGCGATAAAAAGCAAACAAGACGGCAAAATATGGCTGAAATGGTGTTTTCGCGAGGGCCCCCTATACCTCTTCATAATATGCTTTCACGCAAAAATATAATGCATTTTCACGAGTCACGGATTAAGAAAATCATCGATCACGTTTCACGGCTAAGTAAAATAAGCCCTTCACGCTTCACGCAAAAATTATAGGGGGCCCGATCACGTTTCACGGCTAAGTAAAATAAGCCATTCACGCTTCACGCAAAAAGTATAGGAGGCCCTCTTTCGTGGGGGTGAGTGAATTAAAATGTATTATATTTAAAGAAAACAATGACAATCCTTATGAAAACTACAATAATTATATTAAATTAAGCATAGTTTTTCATCCCATGATAATTTTTTTTAGGAAATAAAAACATTAAATTTCTGCCAGGCATATTAGTTATTTTGTGCATAATCAGCAATTTACCTGAGGTGGTGCATAGTCATTTTCTGGCAAAATATTATACTCAGACAAATTTTTCCTTCCAATGACCACCCCTAAAAGCAACCCTTTTAAACACTATAAGCACTTCAGAAAGGCTGTCGCTTTTGCTTTTCGGAAGTTAGAGCTATGTCGGCACTGCCGTTTCAGGGCGGGGTCATTTTCAGGACTTTCGCCCCTGATTCAGGTTTTGGCACATATGCCATGTTGACCGCCATGGTCATTTTACCATAAAACAGTTGAGATTACTGTGCTAAATGAAACGTATACAAACATCTATACAGGTCCTAGACTATTTGCCCAGCTAGGTAACTCGGCCGCCCAAGATAGAATGCATAGGCGTACGGGACGGGGGGGGGCAGGGGGGCCAGTTGCCCCCCCCCCCAAAGATTACAATGTCGAAAAAATCGGGCAAATGTTCAACAAAAGTCGGGCAAAAGTAGGGCTAAAAGTAGTAAAAGCAATAAAATCTCTCTTAATAATAATCCCAGTTTGTTGGGCAAACAAAGCCAGTTTGGCAATATTCGCTTAACAGTCGGGCAATATTGGGTTATTATAAAATAAAATGGGAAAAATTGTGAAAATTTTGCGGGAAATTATGGCGATTTTTTGTTTGATGTTCCGAAAAATTTTGTTATGTCCGAAAAATTTTTGGACCCCTAAAATGGTACACTGACGGAAATTGTTCCGGAAAAAAAAAATTTCAGTACTGGTCGAGCACAAGCCGAAAAATTCGGGCAAATTTCTTTCGCCCCCTAATTTTCTCCCGTCCCGTACGCCTATGATAGAATGTATGTGAATTAAATATAATAGCTTTGCATTTAAAATCTAATAGCTCATATGAATACTTACAGAATCTTTAGATAAGTTCGCCTGAATTTCTTGGCCCGATTGTTACATTTTGTATTTTGGCGCCATTTGCTCTACCTTGCCGCGGGTAACTCGCCACCATATAAATAGGTCTTTAGTCGTCTTCGTCGGAATACCAAAGCATCAATGAGTTGAAAGTCTATAAAATATCTTAAATACAGTCGAACCCCTATAAGCGGACACCTCTCTTAAGCGGACACCTCTTTTAAGCGGACACATATCTCAGGTCCCATTTGGTTTCTTTAATAAAAAACTATTATCATAACCCCTATTAAGCGGACACCCCTCTTTAACGGACGCGGACACCTTTCTGGAGGTCCCAATGGGCAAATCAACCTCTCTTAAGCGGACAGATGACAGATTGTCTGATAAAATGTATTCAATATTCAACAGTAAATAAGAATTGAGATCAATTTACATGGCACATTGACAACTTGGCGCGAAGACATCAGAGCCAAGATTATTGAGGAAGTGACGAACGAGGAAGGAGGACTGTGAGCCGCCAGCCATGATGATACTCAAATTACACACCTATTTACACACTTTGCCTCCTGCTGTGTTTTTCTACATACCCCTTTTAAGCGGACACCCCTTTTAGGCGGACACTTAGGCGAGGTCCCGAAGGTGTCCGCTTAATAGGGGTTCGACTGTACTATTAATCCATCGACAGTACTTCCCTCGATGAGTAAAATTGTTTGGCATTAAGGCGCAATTCCAGTCCACGCACGAAGCTCCTCGCTGCGAGTTCCGCATGAAAGTGCTCATTCATGCATTCGCAGCGAGGAGCTTCGTGCGAGGATTGGAATTGCGCTCATAGACAGAGCAAAATAATAAAGTGGCGTGCATCGAGTGCTTTGCCACTTAAAGAGTTAATTTAAAGGAGAACATGAAATACCGTTTTCAACAACTTTATTTTTCATTATAGGAGATATTTCTTGAACTTTGCCAACATGGGGAAGATGTCGCCGAGCTATCGCGCTCAGTTGCATTTGCAAAGAACCGCTCGGCGAAGTCAAACACCAAGTTTGTCACTACAGCAGCTGGGGTAAAGCTCACCCACAAGATACCGGATGATTGCTTTACAAACTGGATCAGTTATTGTAAGTTTTTCATATTGCTTTAAAAACTGGTTCTCTCACCACACGGCAATTGTTTATAAATTTTAATTTTGGGATAGGTAATGGGACCTCTACATGCGTATGGGATCTTTCGTTTGTGGCTTACATCCAAGCATTATATTATTTATTAGCACATGGCAGCTAGGAATTCGCAACAGCGCAAGCCAATTACTACGGCCCCTTTAAAACTTAACAACAACAAACATAATGATAATATAGGAACGAGTTGTTTCCTTGTCCTCAGAGACAAGTCATAAGATATTACTTCAAGTATTTTTTAAGCCAATACTTTGTACTTTTCACTTAAGTATGTTTTGCCTCCAGTACTTTTTACTCTTACTCAAGTCGTTTTATTGTTAATTACTTCAACTTTTACTCGACTACAAATTCAAAGTGGCTGGTTCACACTTGTCGTAAGAATCGGGGATTTCCATTGTCTCAATTTGTCTGTGGTCATTGGTGTGTAAATGCTTCGTCTGTCGGAAAAGAAAACCATAGATTGTCGATGAATTACGACCAGTGTGAACCAGACTTTAGGCAGCACTGGGAGTTAGCGTGGAGGTAACTCTTCTAACAAATAATATTCTTCTAACAAATATGAAATGATATAACCAGTAATACTTTATATAAATATAGATGTTACTGGTAAAGACAAACCTGAGGAAGATTTCGGGCCCACTATAATACCAACAACCATCTCCGTCGAGGATATCTTACGACTGGACATGCTGGAGATGGACATAAACGAGATGGTCAGAGGTATATATGGTTGTTTTAAGGCCATATAAAATAAATTCCTTGATTCTCATCGCTAAATTTTAAAAACTCCCAGGAGGCGGGAGGTTTATATTTTATATTTTATGTCAAAATATAAAAAAAAGTTTAAAATTTAAAAAATTGGAGAGGGAGGTCTTTTTACATTTGCCCTTAAATATATTATAGAAGAACGCTATATAAGTGGACTGATTGCGCATGCGCTAATGAACATGCATAAGAGTCCACACAAATCGTTGTAATAAGGCTATAAGCCCATTTTTTCCTTCGGTATTCCAAGCGTCCCTTAACATGTTGCAATATTAACGATAAAACAATTTTATATCGCAAAAATTCCAATATAAAATATAAAAAGAACTAAATCTTTGAAGATGCTCGGTCGGGCGGTAAATTTATATTTTATAACAAAATATAAAAATATATCAACGCGGAAACCAAAATATCGTCGGGCGGTGATGAGAATCAAGGAATTTATTTTATATGGCCTAAGGAGGGATTTATGCGACAATTTGCGTTTAATTCACACATGACGGGTTTTAACCCACCAGAATCGAGTATTAAATTGCCTAAAATGATATTAGTTAAAAAACCAACCATATTGATGATACGAATTATATCACACTTTTATTGATTATTATCAAAGCTACCAATGGAAATATCACACCTATAATGAAATAAATTTTGTCAATTTTAGTCTTTCACCCCAAACCGATTATTGACCATACCAACAATGGTATGAAAAACTTGATTCCCAAGCTTAGAAAAGCGTATGGCGTTTGTTTTGGTAAGTATTCATTTAAAGCACATGCACCTCTTCGCACGCATAATAAAGTTGAACTCAAAATTATAAAACTGCTAATTCTTTGTAGGGGATGCAGGCAGAACAATCACGTTCTACGTCAGGCAAAGTGTCAGGTAATTAAAATGTAACTCCTTGTTATTTTTCACATGCCTCGGCTTACTTCGTTCTTTTCTGGAAATATGTTCACTATATAGCCCTGTCCATCAACTGTTTGAAAAGCTGGTGGCGGTTTTTGATTGTTAAAGGGGGTGGGGGGCTGAAAACGACTGATTTCTATAGCAGGGAATAATATTCCCCTCCTAGGCTCCTATAATATTCCCCTCCATACCACTATACAACCTTGCTTCACCATGCAAACACAAGGACAATATACACACCTTCACTCATTCTAAATACTACTGCAATTACCCGAATTAAAAGTATTAAGACAAACGTCCCAACATGCACATTATTGTTTGTTCTAGGATTCATACCAGAACAAGAAACAGACGAGTAAGGTTCCTCAGGACCCTCACAGGAATCGAACATGATGCGATTTCAGTGCAGCGTGGGTTAGTTTTGTAGCATCACTAACAATAGTTAGTTTTTCTGTCCGTGGAAATTTTTCATGAGTGGAAATGGGCCTTAATGGTCGTTTTCCACTGGGCGGAATTTTCCGTGCGGAGCGGAAAATTCCGCCATGTTTATATTTCCTTTCGTTCACGATATCGTTTACAGTCGTCCCCCATGTATATTTATATTCTGACGTTTACGATATATCACACCTTTATTGATTATTATCAAAGCTACCAAATGGAAATATCACACCTTTAATTGACTTATAAATTTTGTCAATTTTAGTCTTTCACCCCAAGCTCCAAAAGAGCACTTGACGAAAAGCTCGATTCCCAAGAAAAGCGTATGGCGTTTGCGTTTGGTAAGTATTCATTTAAACCACATGCACCTCTTCGCAAGCAGAATAAAGTTGAACTCAAAATTATAAAACTGATAATTCTTTGTAGGGGATGCAGGCAGAACGATCACGTCCAACGTCAGGAAAAGTGTCAGGTAATTAAAATGTAACTCCTTGTTATTTTTCACATGCCTCGGCTTGCTTCGTTCTTTTTTGGAAATAGATTCACTATAGCCCTGTCCATCAACTGTTTGAAACGCTGGTGGCAGTTTTCGATTGTTACAGGGGAATGCGGGGCTGAAAACGACTGATTTCTATAGCAGAAAAATAATATTCCCCTCCTAGGCTCCCATAATATTCCCCCGGCTCTATACCACTACAACCTTGCTTCATCATGCAAACACAAGGACAATATAGACACCTTCACTCATTCTAAATACTACTATAATTACCCACATTGACAGTGTAACGACAAACATCCAAACATGCACATTATCGATTGTTCTAGGATTCTTACCAGAACAAAAAGGAGAAGGCAAGTAAGGGCATCTGTAGGTCCCTCACAGGAATCGACCGTGCGATTGCGGTGCAGCGCTCTCTAACCAACTGAGCTAAAAGGACAGTCGTCGAAAAGTAGAACGGTAAGGAGAAAGCAAGTATAAGGACATAAAATCGCATCTAAGACTATTAGGTCCAATTCATCAACACGGCGAAGATGTCGCCGAGATATCGGGATCAGTCGCATTTGGAAGAAACCGCTCGGCGACTCTGTCACATGTCAAATCAAAGTCCAACACCAAGTTCGTGACGTCAGCAGCGGCAGTGAAATTGAGCTACAAGGTGTTGGACGATGCGTTTGTAAATTGGATAAACTATTATAAGTTTTGCATATTTTTGCATATTTGAAGTGATATATACTAAGAGATGTTTGCAAAACATCGGGAGTTGAACTTCGCCTAATCATGTTTTCTATTTATTGGACGATAGGGGTGTTTCGATTTATTGGACGAGGGGTTCTCCGCCAGGCGATTGTGCTATTCTTGAAGCTCGATGACTGCATTTCTTGCGTTTTCTGAAGCAAATTCGTAAAAGAATTGCACTAAAATTTCTGACAATTCGCTATTTCGCCAAGGCAATCCTTTAAATTGAAAGGGCACCTTTGCCCCCCTTGCCCCTCCTGGTAAAGGGACTAAAGGGCAACGGGGGCGGCTGCCCCTCCTGCCCCCCCCCCCCCCCCAGTTACGGCGTCCCTGGTATAATAAATATGCCAAACAAAGCTTGCTAAGTTTTCGCGTCTTTCTTTATACTATAATAATGCTTTCTTTATATATATAGGCCAATAATACTTCTTTATATATAATAATACTTCTTTATATATAATAATACTTTATATATATATATATATATAGAGGATATTACACGGCGGCGCGAAGATGCAGATGTGACTTTTATCTTCGAGTGGTGAAAACAATATTTTAGGCTACGAACGAGCGCAGCGAGTGAGTAAAATATTGTTTTTAACACGAGAAGATAAGAGTCATATCTTCAAGCCACCGTGTAATGTTCTGTTTTATATTATATAGTCCCAAGCAAATATTATATAGTCCCAAGCAAAAAATTGTACAAATACTATAAGTCACGTGATCGATATCTTCACTAATAGTGAAGATATATGGAAAATATCTCACTGTGTATTTTTCAGTATCTCCCTTTCTACTATAAAATAAATAATAATACTTCTTTATATATATATAGTAATGCTTCTTTATATATAACACTTCCTTTATATATAATAAAACTGCTTTATATAATAAACTTAACTACATAGCATAAATAAAACCACTTGAAATCTGGGCTCTCAGTACTGAATAAACTGACATTCGTGTCTCTGGACCGGATTTCAAAGCTGCATTTCAAGTGGTTCGATTGTCTAAAAGTAAAGGTGTGTTTTTGCTGATGCATGCTATGTATTTATTGATACAAAGTTTATTTCTTTCAACGATAATCGCGTTTGAGGTTTGAATTTTTAAAAGGGCAGCCTTTTTTAAATTGGCTATATTTCAACACACATATAATTATACAAAACAAAATTAAACTGATGTCATCATAAATTTAAACCAAATCATTATACAATACAACTACAGCCTTCTGCATCATATAGATATCTTATATACACTAGATGGCACATCTCTTTTAGTAAAATTGAAGCCAAGAATATTCCAGCGGTTACCCCCATTTGAATAGATGGCGGCCATGTTGGTCGTTCCCACTTGCTAATAAACGCTTAAAAACAACAACAACTTTCATCATTTGAATAGTTTAAAAATGTATTTGGAATAGGTTTAACTTAATGTTTAAGTTCCCTGTTTATAAGAAATAGAAAACATACGAATCTTCTCATTTCATGAGAACGACCTGAGACTGCAATCACGGCTTCAATTTTTGAATTGCAGAATAATTAAATGCACTATCTAGTGTATATAAGATATCTATGTTCTGCATGCATTGGCTGTCAATGCATGCCTGTGACAATCTAGATCTTGAACAAAATAGTTCTGTCTTGTGCAAATGACCCTTTACCGACGACTCCCTGTTTCATTACATACTGTCGTCTGAAACCAATTTGGCTACTCTTGTCCGAGTGTTCATTCCGAGTGTTCATTCCGAGTGTTTCAAGAGCAGAGCTGGGGAAATTAGTTTGGGTGAAAAGAGGCCAGGAAAACCGAATACTGCAGTACACATAAAACATGCAAGTTTTCACAGATCTGCAAATAAGTTGTAACAAGGTTGTTGTCAAGCCGATATTATAGGATGTGTTCGCACTGCTTGTTCCCAGTTGTTGTGACAAGTCTGGAACACGCAGGCCTTAAAATATCTTTTACAGGGCCGTCTGACAAAATGTCCGGTGACGTTGAGTTTGGATCGGACATATGTCCGATGACCTTCAGTTCAGTTTTGGCTCGGAAATAAGTCTGAATGACACAAATGAATAAACGGTAAATGTTGTAAAGATATTAAATAATTTGTTTCTTTCATATTTATTTCCAAGCCAAAATTAGCTTGCTTGCCAGAACAGCAGTGTTAAAAAAGACTTCGACAACTTAAGCCCGTTTTCCACTTCACCATTTCGCTCGCCACCCCGCGCTCGACTACGTTAAAACAACATTTCCAGTTCACCTTTTATACAATAGTACTCTGATTTTCCATTTAACATTTTGATTTACGTCGGACAAAGCTACAGTTCGGTCGGACACCAATTCACTTGGGTCGGACAAACAATAAACCTCAGTTTCACTTTGGTCGGACAGAATGTCCGGTGGTTTCCTCTCTACGTCGGACAATTTCACGAATGGGTCGGACAATGTCCGTGACCGACCGATATTTTAAGGCCTGGGAACACGTTGTTATCACCTTGTTACAAGGTTGATGACGGTAACAGATTTGCTCAAAGTTGTTCCAACAAGACTAATACAGGCTGTTGGTAACAAGTTGTTACGAGCTTGTTGTTATCAACTTGTTAACAACTTGTTACGTGCAGACGATATCAGACTTGTTGGAACAGCTTGCCGCGAGTCTGTTGGCCTCGTCAACCTTGTTACAAGATGATACTTGTTCCAGACTTGTCAACAACTGGCAACAAACAGTGCGAACACATCTTGTTGACAATCTGGGAGATTTTTACGCGTGTACCCGCAGAGAAATTTAAAGCCATGCATCGAAGCTCATGATTCTGCAAATTGAAGCAGGACAGTCACTCTGAATCATATAAGTAAGTGGGGGGGGTGGGTGTAACGGGGGGGGGGGGGGCTAATCATGCAGCCTTACTAGCAGCTGAGAGCTAAGCTGAATTACGAAGGACACAGCTCAACCTGATCCAGTCGAAGGCTTTCTAAGGGCGCCTATGGCAGCCACCTTTGACTCATGTCTGATCACGAAGCACCGCTACAGTGGAAGGATCAGTTAAGGGGATAATCCCAACCCACCCTGTCAACAAGATGTGTTCGCACTGCTTGTTCCCAGTTGTTGACAAATCTGGAACAAGTTGTTATCGTCTTGCAACAAGGTTGATAAGGCCAACAGACTCGCAACAAGTTGTTCCAACAAGTCTGATATCGTCTGCACGTATAACAAGTTGTTAACAAGTTGATGACAACAAACTCGTAGCAACGTTAACTTGTTACACAGCTTGTATTAGTCTTGTTGGAACAACTTGTAGCAAATCTGTTACCGTCACCAACCTTGTAACAAGGTGATAACAACTTGTTCCAGACTTGTCACAACAACTGGGAACAAGCAGTTCATTCCCTGTGGGAGAAAACCCACGACTTTCGGTAGAGCATTGATTGACTCTTTTCACATAAGTATCATGAGCGAGTCCGTAGCGAAATTATGTTAAGGCTGTAGAAAATTTACCGCTCGGAGTTCAGATGAACGGCAGTGTTGCAAAAAATTGCAGGATGTTCACGATCTTGCTCATAAGATTACTTTTGGGAAGAAGATAAAAAACACCTGGACTCCTATCCAAGATCAAAGGCAAATTTTGGGCATGATCAACGTTTTTAAATGTATTCATGGTATTTCCTCCATCATCATACATTTGATGCTACTTTTGCGAAAATTATAGGCACAGAATAAAGATCAGTAACAGAAGGGCCACTCAGCGGTGCAACGTGTCCTCGTGGAGCAGCCAGCCAGTACAGCGTGTTTATTGGCCAGAAAATGTCATTGACTGCTAGGAAAATGGCGGCCAACATGCGTAATGCGTAATGCGCGAGGACAGAAACTTCATAGCTTCCGACGTAAGTGGCCCTTCTATATGGATCTTTATTCTATGTTATACGCCTAGAGTGTCAACAAAACACTGGAGGAAATGGACTAAATCTTGTCATTTCAAGGGTGCAGATTGAGTCCGGAAAGAAATCATTTGCTTACAAGAAGCTCTTATATAATAAACTACCACGGGACTTAACGAAGAACAATCAGTATACTTTTATTTAAGACCAGGGCTAGAATTTTTAAACTCTAACTTTTAAACATTTTTTCCAAATAGGTTAAAGGTAGGGTACAGTCCGTAAGTAAACTTGCATTTTGGTATTCAAAATATTTTACTTTATTCGACAACTATTCATATATTTTCATGCTGACTCCTATGTGCGCATGCGCAGACTGGACTGTACCCCATCTTTAAACTTGTTTTAATGATTTATACAATATTTTATAGTGACTAATCTATAACAGGGGAAGGGGATCTCACAAACAAATTGAAGTGCAACATTGTATCTAAGTTCAACAGAAAAAAGTTAAGACCAACTCCCCCGGCCAATCGCCACAAAAACCATTCTCTCAAAAAGGCTAAATCTGTTCGCTTCGTCCCCC